TCAAGGTAAAGATTTGTTGGTATTGAAACTGGAATGTGATTGTTCAAACTGGCTTGAAGTTGCCAGAAAAACTGACTGATTTAAGAGAAAAGTGAAGTTTCAGTGTTTCCTGCTGCACTAGAGATAATGAGAATGTTCCAAACCCTTCCTGTCCCTGATGTACAGAGACGGAAAGTAAAACCAGGGGAAAATAATACACTGATCACAGTACAGCATTCAAACAGTATTCATCCTTATTGACTGATCCTATCACCTTTTTGTATATAGATCTATGTATGAGTATGAAATACCATATAGTGGTTTGTATTAAAGGGACCTTAAAGCTCATCCAGTTCCAAGCCCTGCCACAGGCAGGGACACCTTCCACTAAAGCAGCTTGCTCCAAGCCCCTGTGTCCAACCTGGCCTTGAGCACTGCCAGGGATGGGGCAACCACAGCTTCTCTGGGCACCCTGTGCCAGTGCCTCAGCACCCTCACAGGGAAGAGCTTCTGCCTAAGAGCTCAGCTCAGTCTCCCCTCTGGCAGGTTGAAGCCATTATCCCCTGTCCTATCACTACATGTCTTTGTAAAATGTGAAATATGAAATGTGAAGTGTGTATTATAGATTGTAAATCCCTGCAACGGGAAGCATTTTTCTTCTGTTCTTCTCATTTCCTAGCAGAGTTGAATGCTGCTTGGTTACTAATGCTAGTGGGCCTGATATTATGGAGTAATTATTAATGAAGTATTTGCCTTGTTGGTTCTCCATGGAAGTCACCAGTAAGAACAATGTGAAGATGCAGGGCACTAGTTCAGTTACTCTGCATAACTAACTCGTGGTTTCCTTTTGTAAACCATCCTTTAATTTCTCTGCAAAGATCTTACTTCCAGTATTGATCAGGCCAGGTTCTGTGTGGCTTGTGGTACCTGAAACAGTCATCATTGAAGAGAACAGAAATCAGTAAAATTGAGTTATTTTCTGTATATATAAAACAGCAGCAGAGGTTATACATCAGACAAACGGTGGTGATGGAAGGGTACAATGAATTCAGTGACATGATACGAACGTCCATGTTCTTCAACTTGAAATGACAGGAGAACAAACAGGAATCCTGATCTTGGGAGGTCTGTATGTAATTGTATGGGCAAATGGGAGTTTCTGTACGTTTACACAGCTGTGGCTGAGTCTGAATCTGGGTGTTGCAATTAAATGTGAAACCAGTACCTTTGTCTCCTGCTTACTAGTAGTATGCTAGAGGGAAAAGAACCCAAATAGCATGGATTGCTAAAATTCAGGTGTTTATTCTGAATTTCAGATGTTGTCTCATGGTTGACCATTTGCAGCTTATTTACTTTACAAAAAGTGTTCTTTTTTTATGCAATAGATGCAAATATACTTTTAGTATTTTCTATATTGGCTAAAAAGAGTTTTGGGAAATGATATAATTATGGCTTTGTTCAGACTTGTCCACTCCCATTCCCTTTGGAATTGGCTACAGGCTGGCAAATTATAGTAGCCTTTATTATATTGAATAGACATTCGCTCTGCAAAAGATGTTTAAGCCAAAATGAGCAATGAAGGTGAGAGAACTCAGCTCTCAGACCACTTGGTTATGATGGTATCTCTTCTGCCCCTAGTATGCCAGAGTGCCTCTGTGATTAAAGCTTTCGAAGTCTTAATTTTGAATTTCTTGTCTTTATTATTTGGGGGTGCAGATTGCAAACTTCTGTTCAGTTTCCATATGCTTTCCCAACTAAACCACCTAATAGGAGGCTTAAGAAGCATGCTTTTATCTGCTGTTTTGGAACTGCTTTCCTTAGTGAATCTGTAGCTGAACCATTTGTAAAATGTTTGATTTCCCTCAAATTATAGATCTACTTTTGCAACCCAAGTGAACAAAGAGCAGTCTCAGCTGACATAGTGACACCTGGGTTGGGGCAACCCCAGGCACAGCTACAGGTTGGGTGAAGAAGAGATTCAGAGCAGCCCTGTGGACAAAGACCTGGGGTGTTGGTTGATAAGGAACTTAACATGAGCTGCTTCAGTGTGTGCTCCCAGCCCAGAGAGCCAACCGTATCCTGGGCTGCATCGAAAGGAGCGTGACCAGCAGGTCCAAGGAGGTGATCCTGCCCCTCTACTCTGCTCTTGTGAGACCTTACTTGGAGTATTGTGTGCAGTTCTGGTGTCCTCAGCATAAAAAGGACATGGAACTGTTGGAACAAGTCCAGAGGAGGCCACGAGAATGATCGGGGGACTGGAGTACCTCCTGTATGAAGATTGGCTGAGAAAGTTGGGGCTGTTCAGCCTGGAGAAGAGAAGGCTGTGTGGAGACCTCATAGCAGCCTTCCAGTATCTGAAGGGGGGCTATAGGGATTCTGGGGAGGGACTCTTCATTAGGGACTGTAGTGATAGGACAACAGGTAACGGGTTCAAACTCAGACAGGGAAAGTTTAGATTGGATATAAGGAAGAAGTTCTTTAGTGTAAGGGTGGTGAGGCATTGGAATGGGTTGCCCAGGGAAGCTGTGAATGCTCTATCCCTGGCAGTATTCAAGGCCAGGTTGGATGAGGCCTTGGGTGATATGGTTTAGTGTGAGGCATCCCTGCTGCATGGCAGGGGGTTGGAACTGGATGATCTTAAGGTCCTTTCCAACCCAAAGTATTCTATGATTCTGTGACCTTTGTCACTATCAGTCCAGGGGGAAGGATGAAGCTGGTACAGACCATAGGTTTCTGCCACATTCTCCTTCAGTTTACCTTGGCACTTCCATTGACAGAGGTGTCAGAGCCACAGCAGGTGATTGCTTTTCAGTGCATTTACCTGTTAAAGGTGAAAACTTCCTCCAGGAGGTTTTTCCTGATGGATATATTAGTTAATGTCAGATCACTAATTATATACACCTTTTAAACTCTTACTGCATGTCGATTTGCAGTATAGAATGAATCCTAAACTTTTATTCTGCCACAGTGTTAGTAAATGCAGTGTTGTACTATAATAATGTAGAATGTCCCTGTAAAGACTTTTAAATGTGACCTGTTTCTGACAGTCAGGGTGAAACACCAGTTGGTGGGCATCTTCCCTGTAAAGTGGATGCTGTTGGTCTTTCCAACCTTCTTGATTCTATGGTTCTCTATCTGCTGTCTGAAAACAGTTTCTCTAAAGCATTGGCAGCTCAAAGTGCAACTGGAGCTCATATCAGTGTTTCTTTTGAAAGTCTTGGTTGTAATATTTTATGCTGTAGTAACTCATGGACATATTTTTGCTGATGCTGCCTTTTTATGGCTTATCTATACCCTGATGGGCAATGTGGTTGAAATCATGGCTCCACTGAAGCTGGTGACGGTCTTGACTTCTGTAGAGCTAGGGTGTCCCTGTAAGATTTTACATAGTTGTGGTTTTCATGTAGTCTCTTAACTTTGTGGGGTTTTTAACAGTAGCTCTAACTTTATGGCAGATGTAGATTTTACTTTAGTCCTGCTGGCCTAGGATATGTAACCTGTGCATGTGTATGTAGCGTTAAGATAAATAACCTGCTTATGGCATTACAGGTGTTGAAGACCAGATTCAGCAAATACTTGTTCACCTGCAACGTAACAAAGCAGCTTATATCAAGTTTGTGTGAAAGCCTGGGCAGTTCAGAATTGGGATTTAGGCGTTTTGAGGAAGTGGAAACAACCTGATTTGTCTCTTGGCCTGAGCTAGTGTGAAGCTTGGGGCTGAAGCACAGGGCCCAAGCTGAGAAGGCAGACGCTGTCTACACTGCCTTAATCAGATTTTAAAATCCCATGAAGTTTTAATCTTTGTTAGGCTGTGCGAAAGCCAAATTGAAGCGTTTTAAATGACATTATCTTTTTCTAACAGCTCCACACAGAATTAAACAGTAACGTTTGCGAGCATAGTTAAGGCAGCGTGGTCCCTGTAATGTGGGTGATTCTACATGGTGGTTCTTTCCCATTGGGAAGGTGATTTTCACTCTAAGATCAGACCAGAATAGTTTCTTTGCTGTTCCCAAAGGTTCAAACTATAGCCAGCTGGTTCAGCTATTGGTTGGGTGCACGAGGCTGTGTGCATGCATGAAGCGTGGCTGCACTGGTACAATACTTCTACCTTTGGGCTCAGACCTGATGAAGATGCATGTTGGCTGCCAAGAAACTGTGGTTCATCTATGTTGGGACAGGTTGCATACATCTGCACCAAAAGTTTAAGCTGATGGATGCAAGAGTATTACATCAGTGTTACAAAGCTGTTTCCACTAGACTTGATATGCCAGGGGGACTGGTACATATCCCTGGTGCTTTGGCCAGCTCTGCTGTGGGTCTGGTCCAGTTCAGTGAGTGGGAGGGATGCATGGATAGGGACAGTAACTTGTTAAGCCTTTTTGTGGAAAGCTTATTGTTTGTCTTAATCCACTCTATTGCAAATGTAAGGTGAACTGTGCAAGTCCTGTTGCTGTGGTTAAAACTGACATAGTTTTCTTGTGATTGGTTATTGCAGATATTAGAAGCTGGTTTTACTTGATTTATATGTGTGAATTGTCCTCACAGATGCGAGGGGCCAACTAAAAAAAGCTTTTATATGGGTCATAGTTCAAGTGGTGTCAGTAGGCTAAAGTATATTGCTAAAATTGTGTTTCTTCTATCAAATGGTGACACTGGAGCAAAACCAATAAAAGAAACATGGAACAGCCACTTTCTGTATTGGTGATTGCATGGTTCTTGGTACCTCTACGAGACTGATGGTGGAAGTAGTCCCAGCAAAATGTCTCTCTCCTATGTGGACTAGGGAACACACATCAGAACGTCTTAATCTCTTTTTCATCCACCTGGAAGCATTGCACACATTGTAGGGATCATATTGATTTGTTCTGGTAATGTGGAACATCCCAAGCCAGGTACAAACTGCTGTTTTAACAGCCTGACCTGTCTGTGGGAGAGGTTTTCTTACTTTCAGCTGTTTCTGTGCATAGAAAATGTACAAAGATGCAGGTGTTCTAATTTGTGCTCTTTGTGTGTGTTTGTAGATACCAGTATTACCTACAAGTGAAAAAGGATGTTCTCGATGGCCGGCTGCTTTCTTCATTGGAGCAGGGAATTCGACTAGCTGGTTTGGCAGTGCAAGGTAAGATGGCATGACCTGATAGCCCCTTTTCCAACACTGGCATTTTTGGCTTGTTCCATGTGTTTTATATGTTGAGTGGGCACTAACTAAGGCCTCGTATTACTCCTACTCACAACAGCTGGGTTTTCTACTGATTTAAAAGTGCATAGGTGGACTGCCATTGATGAAACACACCCTCAGGGAGGGAATGATGGACCACATCACAGTGTACAGCTTCCCTATGTCTTAAAAATCCATGTAAGTGAATCTGAACTCCAGTTCTTCGAACCCCAACCACGGAGCACTTTGCAGTAATGAATTTGCTTTATGTTCTCTGGTTTGAAATGTAATGACATCAAAGAGCATAGCAGCAGCTTTAATTTTGCCTTTAATTAAAAACTTGTTTTGCTGTATAGTGCTATCTGAAATATGAAAGAACACATGACCCTAATTGTTCTGTGAGTTATAAATTAGTAATAAACTGCTTCTTACAATGTGATTTTTATTCTGAGCATCCTAAGGACATCAGTAAATGTGGGATCGTAGACTGTATATGGGCAGAGGAAGAAGCTCTGTATTTGGTGAAACTACTTTTCAGTCTATCTATGAGTGACTAAGGTAGAGTTTCAGCGATCATGCTCTGGGCATATCCTCTAATAAGGGGGAAGGGGGAAGTAAATAGCAAACATGAAGATCAGATTCTTAAAAATTAAAGGCTCAATGGAGAGCAATGCTGATATGATCTTAGAGTAGTAGAAATTCCATTTTGTACCCTATTTCTTGGTTAAAAATTGAAGAAAAAATGCTTCTTGTCACATCCTGAAATGTTATTTTAATAAAGGAAGATCTGTGTATTAGGTTCAATACTGAACCTTGCAGTTAAAGCAAATGATGTTTTCCAGTGTGTAAGGTCGGGCTGAGTGTGTTTCACTGGCCCTGTGTTTTGGGAGCTTTTTGCTGACTTTGAGAGTGAGTCAGTCTTTGTGGTCAGTTTGAAGTAATCACTGTGATTCTGAAACTTCTACATAATCTATTATATTTCAAAGACCATTGCATCAGAATGCTGCAACTAATCTTGTTTGCTTTATTCCTGACCTTGTATTACTCCCTTTGTCCTTTGCATGTGATGCAACTGAAGATATGCGAAATACTTCTTTCTTTTAAACTTACAGACTCTGTTTCATGTCCATTTGGATCTCTTTCTGTTTATGTTAAAACATAACTCTGAGGTGAAAACAAAATGAAACTGCATTTTTGGCATCCTGCAATACGTGAAATTGTCTCTAAGCTTTGAAAGAATGTTTAGATAATATGATTTATGGTGGGGGTTTCCAGCTTCTATTATATGAGAATCTCGTAGATGGTGTTTGATCCAGTTCAACTAATATAAAATAAGAACCTCCTGGCAAGGTATTCTTTTGATACAAGCTGTTGTGTATTTAACAGATAGATACATGCAGGTTTTGGGTTGTATTTTTTAACACAGTTTAGCCCTTAGGAAGCATTTTCAAAACTCCACAGTTTCAAGGGTATTTAGACAAGAATCCTCAGCCCAGCATAGGAGTGAATGTGAGCATGGAGACAAGTACATCTTTAAGAGGTGTAGAAGAAGTAGAAAAGCAAGTAGGAAGATTAGACTGGCACTGTTCCCATACTGTTATATTGGTTGCAGAAGGATAAGACCTTCCTTCCTCTGCCCCTCAAACTATGTTGGTTGTTGGCAATTTTTAATACAGTTGTCAAGAGGACTTTAGCCCCTATAGTGTAAAACTAAGCAGCTTTTGTACAGGTATGTAGAATTGTACCAGAGGTAGGTTACTTTTTGCCTGGTCAGGATTGGCAAAGCTGGTGAAGCAGAAGTGTGCACCATTTTTCAAGAGGCTGAGCAATCCCAGCCTGTTAGATAGTGGTATTAGTGCACAAAGGCTACAGAAAATCTTGCCCTCCTGATGGTTAAGCATTGCAAATGGTCATAATATTAAGGATCAAAAGGGAGAAATTACTTGTTGGCTGTTATTTGATCTCTGGTAATAACACTATTATTTTCAGACCACCATGTTAAAAGCTGAAGTGCAAGCAGAAATCTTTGTTCTAAGTTGTGGCTTCAGAGAGAACTCGCCCACTTGAAATGAAGCATCTGTGCAAAGGTTGAGCGCGGCCTTAACATGTGCGGAAAGTACTAAAATGAGTAATTGTGTTATGTTTTTCTTCCAGCGGATTTTGGAGACTATGATCAGTTTGAATGTCACGACTTCCTCCGGGAATATGTCTTGTTTCCTATGGTGAGTTCCTTAGCCCTCTCTTTTGGGGTCTTTGACAAAAGATTTCTCCATGCCTCGCAGAGGGGTTTGTTGATAACAGAGTAAAAACGCCAGCTCTGAACCATTAATAGTGGAAAAAAATCTTTGTTGCCCAAAACCTGCAATATACTTGATTGTATCTGAATGTATGTATGATATGGAAATTCAGCCCCGTTTTAGTCCCTTTCCAGTTATGCCTCTACTAGGCATAGGTGTCAACAAGTGTACTTCTTGAGTCAAAAAAGAAGGTGTAGCTGTTAAAAAAGGTCTATATTAGCAGTACTACAATACGAGTAACATGGCGTAACAAAAGGGATATGAGGGCTGCTGATGTACTAAATGTGTCACAGGACAAATCATGCAGCCTTTCCTCGAGAGAATGAGCATTGACATCACCTGACTATTAGACTGAAGTGAAGCATGAATTAGGTCTTCTCAAACTGCTCCCTAAGGACTGTACTGTATACTTGTTTTAAATTTACATTGGAAACTAGCAAATGACTTGAATTCTCAGGGAAGTGGTTTAGGTCACTTATGGTGTTAGTTTCTACTGATAAGTGCCAAGCACTTGCAATCCATAACATTGAACCTCTCTGGGATAATGGATTAGAGGAGAACTTAGGGAAAAATAAAAGCCTGCTGAGGTTAAGGCTGACTTTATCCTAGAGGAACAAATGCATCAGCCACGACTCCTGAGTGTCAGTGTCATAAAATGGAAAAGATCATGGAATTGTTTGTAACTGGAAGTAAAGTTTGGAGGTGGGGTGGAGTTCCCATGCCCTGAGTATAGCTCCCTACAAGTGAAGGCATCTGGTTTCCCTCTGCAATTAGTGGAGCGGTAAAGGGAGAATGATTCATCTCGTTGTAATTTGCAGGCTTGAGAAAGGCACTTCCCGAAGCATTTCTTCCCATTTACCAGCACTGTTTGTACAAGAGCTGCAGCAGATAGTCCGTTCTTGAGTCTAAAAAGGTGACAGCACCAGTATCATGAGGAGAGGGTGCAATTTTGAGCTGATAGGGAGAGTTCAGTGCCACCTGAAAAGGAGTCAGCAGGAAGAAGGGAAATGAGTAATGTATAGAGGTTGGAATATGCCTTGTATAGCTAGAATGTGGCTTGAGTATTGACCTTTCACAAGAAACTTGTGTTAGCCTGACTGGTGGAGCAGGATTCCTTTGGTAGGCATCCTTTATCTATTGATAAGTAATTGATGAACTCATGTTTAGTTGATGACTTAGGAAGTTATGTACGATAGCCTAAGTGGGAAAGATGGCTGGGAATGCAGACAGAGAAATGTGTTGTTGAGCTGTCACTTTGTAAATTGCTGAACTTCTGCAAAGCTTTTTCAGTACATTGGTACTATTTTTCCGTTCAGCTGCTGCTAAATTGAACAAGATCAGCAAAGATCTACAGTGTTCAGAAGCCCACTCTTAAACCAACTGTTTCTCTAGACGTTTCTCTAACTGCCTTGTCTTTGCTCTTCCTGGGAGGAGTGGGTAAATGTAATAGTAAACATTTCACTGCAAGTTCAGTGACAGTTGCTAAGTGCTGCAGATACAAACTAGTCCTGAAGCAAGTGGGAGGATTTGGGTGAATCCCAGGTCCAGAAAGAGCCTCCAACGAGAGCACTGCTATAAGTTCATTAGTGAAGTGAGCTGGTAGGTGAGGGAGGGGCAGCTACATCTGTACTGTTTGATCTTGCGAGGCTCCAATGTGTGTCAAATGGCATTTCTTGAGCAGGGAAAAGAACAAAGCTATGTACACAGTACACCCCACAGGTGTGTAGCTGTGCAGAGGCATGTACCATGCCATTTGTCATGAGCACGCTACCACTTTCACATTTTTGTGTGGCAGAAGCAAATAGCAGAGGGGAGGGCCCCAATGGGCGAGAAGCAGGCAGTGGATTGCAGTCCCGTACATGCAGCCTTAAGGCTTTTAAATGTAAAAATAAGAACATTGAGGTTTTGCAAGAAGGCTTCTCGGCTTCCTTTGGGTTTTTTCTTGGCCTTGAGTTTATGAGCATGCTTCCTTTTCTTAACCTGCTCCCAGTTATGTCTGAATTGTTGCTACTACATAGAATTAAATTCACAGGAGAGGAAAACGTCTGCTCAGAAACACGTTGCAAATGTAAAGTAGATTTTATTACAGATTTAAGAGGTGGCAAAACTGTCAGTGGGGCTTTCATGGAGGTTAAGGAGTTACCTGCAGGACTACAATACCCATGACTTCATTTTCCATGGTCTATGCATTAATTTTGGCCTGGCTTAAAAGGTAGATACTAATTTGTAGACTTCCAAGTGGTTTTAAAGACTTGTGTTTGGTTCTTATCCAGAAAAATTTCCTTATCTGTGCTCTCTATTTTGGAATAATAAATATCTTAACGTTATTTTCAACAGTATCTTTTTATCCTCCCCCTAAAAGACATAGAAGAAATCAGACTCTTGTGTTCTCCTCGCATGTTTTCAGCATCCCTGCTCTGAATTTTCAATACAGTTGGTGATAGGGTCTCTGTCTCTCAAAGACCTGCAAGAGCATGAACAGGAAATGATCCTGAAACATCTAGCATAATCCCTGACTTTCATTTTGTTGTCTTTCTCTTTGGATGGCTTTTTGATGCCGCTTCATATTCTTACAGGATTGGACCCAGGATGAAGCTGTCTTGGAGGAGCTGACTCAGAAGGTTGCTCAGGAGCACCGAACTCACAGGTAAGTTTGACGTGTTAAAGTTTGGATTATTCATTGTCATCATTCTCCTAGTACTTCTACTTCCCTTCTTCCCTGTGCTTTTCTGGCAGGGGCAAACTAGCCTGTCTTCGTGCTCCTGTTATGCTGTGTCTCATTGGGGTTTTTAATTAGTCTATTACAAAAGATTATCAGCCTCTTGTGAACACAACATGGCCAAGGAACTTAATCCCAAATAAACAAGCACCTGCACCATAAGGTTTAATGAGGCTGTGTAACACTACTTGCACTATGGAGTAGACTCCTTTCTCTTCTTGGTTTTGTGTAAATCCTCCTAGTGAAAGACCCTGTGACTTGATCAGGGGGAATCTGAAGGTCTGACAGGGTTTTCTTTCATTTCAGAGAGAGGGGGGTACACATGCTGTCAGTGGAATGGAAAAGAAAATAACAGCAGTTGGGTTTTAAGTCTCATTGTGGAAGAGATACAATATGGTGTTAATAACTAGTTGATAATTAGGCTGGGAGGGGATGGATGTATTAGTGCTGCAGCACAAACACCTTTGTAAGCAGGCTTTTGTGTCATCTAGGTGTTTTGGTGGTGGAAGGATTTGAGCCTCTATAATGCTGTTCTTAATCAAATGCAGTGCCTATACGTCACTGGAAATTGGCTCTTGTGTTAGGTTATGTACTTACATGTCAAGCTTTATTACATGAAATGCAATGGGAATATTATGGGGAGGGTGCAGCACTCCCTGTTGTATGACAGGGAATGGTTGTAATGAGGAAAATAGGAGTCTCTGAGTTCTCAGTCTTAAGTTTCAATGCAAGCTTGGACCTTTGATGAAACCAAAGAGTTAGCTTCCAAGCTGGTCATGAACAGGCCTGGTTCTGTTCTGCTCTTTCTGCCATGGGCTGTGTGTGTGATCTTGGTTAACTCCCAGACTTGAAAGGAAAGATTTCTCTCCCCTGCTGTGCTCTTTAGTGCTATTTCCCTAACACAAAGGACACATACTTATCCTCACTTCAGCCGGTAGATCACATTGCACTTCCTTTCTGTCCCTCTTTCTCCTAAGTATTTCTCTGGTTCCTGTATTTCTGTTCCTAAGCTATGGTGAGGAGCAAAGAGGAGGAACACTAATAGTGGCTTTCTTTTGAAGCAACCTGCAGTCTATTCTGACCTGCTTTTGAGAACTGAAATCTGTCTGAATTCCTGAGCTGTGACAAGAGCATGTGTAGACACGTGTGTAGAAGCTTTCACCCACTTTGTTCTCCTATTGCGAAAGAGATTCTGCTCAATATTTGGATTTAGTGCCTGTGTTTTTGACTTGAAAATGTAGGTCTTCCCTTTTAAGTCATCTTAAGAAACTTCAATGGGTATGTGTACTCTGTATGCAAATTCGGACCCACATGGCTCAAACTGGCCATCCAAAACTAGACATAACCTGATGCAGTGGTCTGATGTTTTAATAAGGCATGGAAAATATTTGATGTGTGCTGAAGAAACTGAGTAACATGATCAGTTCAGTTTGTTTCTCCTGTAATTTGAACTGTGCTTTGTACCTTACCTTAGCAACATTGAGTACGAGTCCTCTTCTTTCTGATCCCCATGTGAAAAGCTGGTTTTGTGTGGTGCATTTCTAGGCACCATCTCCAAAGTGGGTTTGTGAATCTGCCATTCTTTCACTAGTGTTTTTTTTTGTGTGCATGTAACATTGAACCATTTGCTGCCTTTTGTTCTAATTGCAGTGGCATTACAGCAGCAGAGGCTGAGCTTATGTACATCAGCGAAGTGGAACGCCTCGATGGGTTTGGACAGGAAATTTTCCCTGTGAAGGTATGTTAGTGGATATTATAGAGGAACCTCTGAATCAAATGATGCAGAAGTCTGCAGCTTCCTTTGGAATACATGCAAGTTGTGTTTATCTAAAAGAGACAGGACTTGCTTGACTGTTCTGGGAGGTGAAAGGACTGCTGGTGGTCTGAATGGACATTGCAGCATGAGGGTACCTTAGGCCTGTAGTGTTGCCTTCTAAAGCTGCCTCTGGAACAAGGTAGAGGAACGTGTAGTCCTTTAATCAGACTAAACTGAAGACTGTCAGCTGCAGGACCTCTAGGACTTGCAGTGCATGTGGAAGAATGCTGGTGTGTGCATAGGCAAGGTCTAGAAAATTGGTATCCATCATTTGTTTGAAAGGCCTAACACTTAGATACAGGTGCAGATACTCCACTGTTGCCTTCTGAGGATCGAGTAGAGCAGGGCCAGGAGAACAGATCTAATCTATCAGTTAAAATGCAGCATCCAGTGGTTTCTAGAATTTGCTCAAGTGTTGTGCATTAACTTCTTTCATAACCGTTTTTCTACCCATTCTTTTTAACCACACTGTGTTAGCATGATTTTTATGTCCCACTTTAACATGTGAATCAACTACTATATATGCAGCTGAAGGGGGAAGTTGGTTTTGTTGATAAATGTAGAAAAATCTCTTTGTCAACAGCATTAAGCTTTTGTTGCTATAAAGAAATAGCATGGTTTTAAGGAAATATCTGATTGCAAAATGGAACAGGAGAGCACTGATTTCAAACAGGCACCCACAAGGAGACATGGGTGGCACAAAACCAACAGAACCTCTCAAAAACAATGTAAGAGCAGTTGACATTGTGATACATACAGGTGAATATTTAACCCAATGATGGGGGGGGGGGGAGAAGAAAAGGAGGAGGTATCTGTATAGAGATACAAGTACTTTTAGGGTGACATGCTGTGAACTTCTACAAGGAGTACTTAAAGGAGGAAGCATGAAGGGTATTGCTTTTGAGAGGGATTCCATCTCCAGGTGTGTTTTTCTGAAATCTCTGCATGTTTTAACAGATGACTGGAGAAACACTGTGCATGTGAAAGAGGACTTAGTGCTTTTAGAGGTCATACAGCCTCTAGACAGCTGTCATCACAACGCTAGGGAATGTGGGGTTTTATACAATCAGTGCCAGTGTGTGCCCTGTGTTGGTTGATAGAGGAGAACCTTGGGCTTGTTTAGCCTTTGTCCTCACTAATCAACAGAGTGAATCCAATGAAGTGCCCATTGCTTTGAAAGAACAAAAATCACAGTCTGATCAGGCAGCAATATACAGGTTAGTGAAGGGCTAGTCCTGCAGCCATCCTGAAGAAGGGTTTCTGTTTGGCAGCATGCATTTGCCAGTTCCTTTATGAAGCTAAATATATTACCTTTCCTCTGCAGGATAATCATGGAAATGACATACACCTGGGTATTTTCTTCATGGGAATCTTCATAAAAAACAGAATTGGAAGGACAACTGTGATCTATAGGTAAAAACTAGGATCTTCTATAAGTAAAGCGAGTTTCTTTTCAGAGCTCCATGTGTGGGTTTTTTCCCTTACATATGTGACTTCAACAGTGCCAATGCTCTAACTGAGGAGCAGTCACCTAGCTGTTTTCAGGAGTGGCCTCTTGGCTGTGAGAGATGTGATTAAAATATAATTGCTGATGTCTGTGAATGGGTTTGACAGCGAGAAAGATGTAGTTTTCTGTCACGTGTCTTGTTCTACTTACAAGGCTTTGATCCCTTTTATTTTCTTACCTTTACGTCTGCTTCTGAATGCAAATCTGTTAAACCTCACGGCATCCTGGGCATTCAACCTGTCTGCAGATCTGGTTGTCTCATGTAGGTGCCCCACTGCAAACCCCTGGATTTCCTCATCGTGCATGTTTAAAACTCCTGGCTGTGTCACTTGTTTATTTGTTCTGCTGGTTTGGTTGTTGTAAAGAATCACTTCAGTCTTTCCATTCCCTCCCTTTTGTGGGTTTTGTTGCTTCTTATAAATGTTTGTTGTGTATAGGAGTGTTGCTAGAAGTGTCTATGGTTCCAGGGAGGCGGGGGTTTCACTCATTCTACTTTGCTGCTGTTCTGGTGGGTGTTTCCATTACTGGTGGTGTTAACTTGAAGTGGATTTCTGCTACTGCCTGTATTAGACTATGAACATTGTGCAGCCAAAAATATGTGGTTTATGAGGTGTGCTAATTTTTAGTCAGTCACAAGGCTTGTGTCAGACTTCAGCTGGAGTGGGTTTTGCCTTCAAAGAGCTTTCATCCGAAACGTTAGGGCTCCCTTTTCCGCAGGCTCTTCTTCTTTTTTAAGGAGAAAATAGATAATCCTTGAGGTGTGCCAGATGACAAACCCAAGAAGTTTCTTTGCATGTAGAAATGATAGGTGTAGAATAATAGTAAGGCAGGGAGCCTTACTCTCTGGAAATATGCGCTTCGAGCATCCTGCCGTGACATGAAGAGGAATGCATACTGCAAACAGAACAAACAAGTCCTTTCCATCCCCATGGATTGCATGCAATGTAGGTGAATGTCTGTCAGCTCTTTGTAAGAAGATTATAACTCTGATCTTGGGTAACCTGACAATTACTTGGAGAAGGGAAAAAAGGAACCAACAAAGATTGCACACATAAAACCAGAGTATTAACATGGTATGCATAGCCTACATAACCATGTTGTCAGCTTAACCTTCTTCAGGAAGAACTGGCACTGGAGGAAGTTAGAAACAGCATTTGGAGAAGAATGGTGCCATTAAATAATCATTTCCATTACACGTGGCTAAAATCAATCAGCTCAAGCATGCCACAGTTCAGTAAAATGCTTGGCATTCATGTGTTTTCAATGTATCTGTTACTGTGAGTCTTCAAATTGGTGTTTCTAAAGAGGGTTTTGGGCTCTCCTGCTTTGGGTTAAAAGGTGAATATCTATTTCTCCTTTTATCAGAGCGTGACTTCCTTATTTTCCTGACCATGTTTCTTCACCAAACAGCTGCTGAAAAGCTTGCCTATCAAATGAGGCTCATGTTGACTAAGGGATTCTTAATGTGTTTGTGAAACATTTGAATGTATGTGTTGGCAAACTCTACTTCATTTTTTTTACTCTACAGGTGGAATGACATCGGGAATATAGCACATAACAAGTCTTCCATTGTTCTAGAGTTGATCAACAAAGAAGAGAATGTGCTCTTTCACACAGTAAGGAAAAGATCTAATTGGTGTAATCAGAAAGCTACTTGAATAAAACAGAAACCTTTAAAATTCCACTTTGCCAAAGGGGTTCACTCACCTTAACCCCTCTCCCCCAAGTTCATAGTTTATGCAGAGAGTGAAATGGGCTTCATTGAGCTACCAATATTTGTATTCTCTTCCAAGAATCCTGAAGGAGACTGTGCTGGGAAGTCTGCAAGAAACTGCAGTGCTTGTTGGATGAAACATCCACAGTGCCACGCTTTCATGCTGGCATAAATATAGCAGCATGAGCGGTGGTTGAAACTGGGCATAAGGTGCCATGCATGCACATACTGGAACTCAGAGGGCAGTGCTGTTCAGTGCTATTTAAAATCACATCTCCCTGAGCCAAGGCCAGGATAGAAACTGGACCAGCAGGCTTGAGCCATTTCTTGTTGTTGTCCCTCCTCTCCTCCCGCTGTGACTTAGCACTGAAGTGGCAGCATGTAAAGGCATGCGACTGTATTTCAGTAATTCAATGCCTTGAATGCTCTTGAGGGCACTAGACATGTTCTTGGCAGCCAGATTCTGTACATGATGGACCTTACCAAGCCTTATTGCAGTTGGATGTGTGAAACTCTTCTTTGTTACTTCTTGGTAAGAATAACAAAATGAATGATTACGTTTTCTTTCTCCCATTTTTCTCTTGTGTTTAAAGGATGATCTTGAAAATGCCAAGTATATTTCACGGCTGTTTGCAGCACGACACAAGTTTTATAAACAGAACAAAATATGCACAGAGTGAGTACTCTTTTCTTCAGAGCTCTTTGCTGCTATTCTGCTTTGAAACTGAGCTGAGTTTTGGCATACCTGGGGTTTTTCTAGTCACTTGGGTCAGTTATTTCTTTCCTCTTTCCCTTTTTTTTTTTTTCTTGCTTTGTTTTAACCACCAGCAAGAGCAGGCAATTGGAAATGAAATTTCATTCTGAGCCTTGCAAGGGGTGATGCTCCCCAAGCAGCCAGAGCTGACAGGGGTCTTGAATTAAAGGCCTTGATCTCTGCCGTTAATAACCCAGAGTATTAGGATAAAGTGGAGTGAAAGGTGATATAAGTTAGAGTGTGAATTGCAGTAGCGGATGCACTACCCATCTAGCAGCTAAGGGTGGTGGAAAACACAGGTTGTCATCTTCTAATTTGGGCAGTATAATTTGTCTGCTGCTTGTATGTGCCAAACAGACACGTGGGAACATTAATCCATGTAGCCATATGAGCACAAAGATGCAGAGACTGTAAATCTGAACCTGAAGTCTCCTTTAGGCTCTACTTTGAGCACTTACTTAAGGAATTTGGCCTGGAGCTAGTCCTCTCATACAAGTGGATTCACTGTAATTGAAGGAGGAATTGATGAGGCTTTACTTACAGGTTAGAAGCCTGGAAGCTGAAGATGCTTCCTTTATACTAGCACACAGCAATTGTAACTTGAGGTAAATTTAGCTGTTAGAGGTTCAGAGTTTTGAGGCATTTTCATGATGTATGGGGTTTGTATAGCAATGAGAACGTGAATTCCTTGCAGAACCTTCCCAGTTCGGTTAGCTGGAAAGATATGAAGAAGCTTCATCTCTATCAACAGCTCTAGTTAGAGCTGGACATCCCATCTGTTCAACTGGGTGATGCCATCTGTTGGAAAATAAAGCCAAAATGATGAGGGGAAGATCTGAAAGTCTAACTTTCTAACGTTACGTAGGCACGCATTGTGTTAACATACAGTGAGTCAGAGTAATGTAGAGACCAATGAGCTGATCTTTTCACTTAGAGGATGAAGATGTTGATTTCATTTCAGGTGGTGCTGACAGTTCTTGGGAGGGGAGTGGGAGACCAGAAAAGACATTTCTTAGCAACATATCATGGATTTCAGGTTTTAGAGCTCCTGATTGTCTCCCCCTGTGACAGTCAAGAAAGAAGACGAAATCCCATAGTCTGTCATCTTGGAATATTTCCCCTTTGAAGCTGTACACTGGGGGCAGCAGGAGAGGATGGTTCTGTTACTGTTCATAATCCAGACTGAAGAAGCAATAGTTTTTGGCTGTGTTTATTGCTAAACACTGAGCCATAAGTACATGGGTGCCACGAGCAGGGTGTATGTAGCAGCTTCATATCCAACTTACAAACAGATAGGAAACCCTATGAGGGCACTGAGTGAAATAACTGGAGTTTAACTGTATTTTTGCCATTAGAATTGCTCTCCTTACCACAGTGTCATATGGTATCTATCAGCTTCTGTGTGAGAGCCACCGACATTGATGGCAGCATATGCCAGTGTCTGTTTTCTAGCCATGTAATTTTCCTGCTCTCTGTGTGTAAATGATAGTTGTTTGTTTTCCTGTGTGCATTTCCTCTAATAGCACATAACATCATTCACTAGATCAGAAACTGTAAGAGGACAAATCCCACCTTTCCTCTCTTCACGTAAGCACTATATTTCTGCCTCCTTCACCTCGTTTCTCTCCCTTCCTCATTTTGTATTTCCTCCTACACTCCGTGTTGCTTCCACTGCACCTGGCTACTCTAACACTGTATGTGCTTCTGCTAGTTTTACCTAACCAATTGCTTTTTTCCCCTTCCTGATCTGTTGGCATTGCTTTGAAGTGATTGCTATGAATTTCATCCAATAGTTGTTGCTTTAATGTTCGCTGTAAGTCACCTGAGAACTGTGCCTGTGTTCACATTTGTTGCTTAAGAGACTTGTTTGATTAATTTTTAAGCCAGTTTTTCTTGTGTTTCCAAGTTAGCCAAGTAGGATAATGAACAGAAGGCATGTGTGTTTTGGAACTGGAATACTTCCTGTATTTAGAGAAGAACTGGAATTCTTTTCATTTCTTCATTATTTTCAATCTCATTAATGAGCAATACATAAAAATTCTTCATCTCTCATTTCTCCTATTCATTCTTGGATCACAATTGAAATATGGTCGTTTCTAGTATTTCCTTTTCCTTTTTCTCCACAGACAATCAAGTTCTCCTCCCCCTATCCGACGACGGCCCACTTGGAGTAGATCATCCTTGGTATGTGCCACAGTGGGGGCTCTATGAGTATCTGTACCCTTTCTAATGGGATGGGGCATTGTGTAAGATGGAATACCTTCTAGATTTCAAATAGGCACATGATATCATTATTCTTGTTGGCAGTGTGATTGGAATGAGCTGCAAGGGTGTGGCTGCCCAGGTTGATTAATTTAACTGGATAATATCACCACTGAGTATTAAAAATGACAGTCTTCAAGGCATTCTGGTTTTAGTTGCCCTGCAGAAGCTGAACCTCTTTTCTACTGGCTTGAGGTGACCTCAATATGTAGAGAAAATAGTCATCCAGAAAGAATTTGAAGTGTCTTGTTGCTGTATCCATCAAACCTAGTCATTAGATAATTTTACAGCTCCTCATTTCATGTTTCCTCCATTCCTCATGTTTTTGTACGAAGTCTGCTTACAATTTACCAACTTCTTGGGTTAAAAACCTGTTTTCTGTGTGAAGTTATTGTGTTTTAAAGTAAAACTATTATAATCAGTACAGGACTGTGACTTAGAGTTTTTCTTAAGCTATATTTGTTTCTATTTAATGGGTCTCCATAGATACCATCAAAATGGTTTGGGTTGGAAGGGGCCTTAAGATCATCCAGTTCCAAGCCCTGCCATGGGCAGGGACACCTCACACTAAGATCATGTTGCCCAAAGCTCTGTCCAACCTGGCCTTGAACACTGCCAGGGATGGAGCATTTACCATTTCTATGGGCAACCCTGTGCCAGCTCCTCACCACCTTCACAGTGATGAACTTCTGCCTTAGATCTAACCTGAACTTTCCCTGTTTCAGTTTGAACCCATCACCCCTTGTCCTATTGCTACAGTCTCTGAGGAAGGATTCCTCTCCTCCATCCTTGTAGCCCCCCTTTGGACACTGGAAGCTGCTATGAGGTCTCCACACAGCTTCTCTTCTGCAGGCTGAACAGCCCCAGTGTTCTCAGCCTGTCTTTGTATGTCAGTAAATCTGACAAAGCTGGGTAACTCTTTCCTGAAGTCTTCACCAAAAGTCTGTGGGATTATTCCCCCCCCCCCCCCATCAGTTCTAAGGACACTGGTTTGGATCCAGTCTTAACATCCAGTGTATGTCAGCAATTCAGAGTCCATTAAATAAGATTTTAATAAAACAGATTTGCATAAGAAAGATTTCAATGAACAGCACTGCTGATTCCATAGAGGGCAATATTATCTATATGCAGGTATCCGTGTGATATAGATTATAGCTGCTTTGTAGACCTTCCCAGTGGTAATCCCATTAGCCTATTGCTATATGGTAGAAAGCTAGTGTGGGCTGGAATGTTTCCTTGGTGTGCCCCCACAGGGTGGCTACAGCTTGTTGCAGATGTTCCCAAATTAAGCTTAAGCAGGTACCGACACTAGGATCACTTTATCTTTGCAGACTGCAGCACAGGCTGTCTTCCTGTGTGTTTTTATATGGTCCATTATATCTAAAAGCTGCATTCTGTGTTTCCCAGCCATTGGGCAGGAAAGCTGTTGTAGCTGGCTCCAGATTTCTTTGTGCTTTCATTCTTAGCATGTCTCTAAGGTGGCACGAATGCAATACGCAGCCCGTGTGTCATGTTCTCTGAAGCATATTTACAGTGGGGTTTGTATCTGCTAGTTTGGTCCCTAGAGATGCCTCTGAAAGACTGAAGATGACAAAACCAAATGTTCTTTGCATGCTCATGCTATGGCCTCAGGGATATGACAAGGGGAAGGGGAGAGCTGCCCTCTGTAGTAGATACAGAAAGTAGACATCTCCTTTTTCAAGGAAGAAGCAAATCCTGCAGCCTCCTTATGGTTTGAACATAAGCATGCAACAAGGTTTGGGTTTAAAACCCAGCCTCAGGAAGACCAAGAGGAGGAACGCTCATCGGTGAAAAACGAACTGTGCTGCTAACCCTTCACATTGAACTTTCAGCTGCTTCTTTTCATAATTGTTTTGTTGACTTGTTGGAACAGTTCTCTCTGGGGAGAAGGAAAGGGGAAAAGAAGGCCTCCTGACTGTTGTCTGCACTGTACATACCTTTATATACCTGCCTATTCATTTGTCTTGCATGGTAATAAATCAATAGCCATAAATGGGAAGAGAAGTGGAATCTTAAGGGTGAGGCTCTGCCACTTCGCTGAGGATCACATTCATTACTTTCAGGTTAAAGCCCTTTATATGGTTTTGGCATCATGGTGAACCTGTATTTTATCTGTTACTTTAAACCCATTTTATGCTGGTTCTTTTGCCTGTCAGGCCACCCAGTGATGCAGCCAAACCTCCTCAGTGTAGGAGATCTTAATGTAATAACAACCTCAAGTTTCTCCTATTCCATCAGAAGAGGCACATGGGCCTCCAAAAAATAGGGGAGGGGGGAGGAATAATCCTTAATTTCTTGCAGTTATCTTCCCTAGCATCTATCACAGAGAAAACTGGCTGCTCCAGATCTATACATTCCCAGTGGGAGTCACTTCTTCCTTGCATTTTTCCTCTGCTCCCCATCTGTTAGACTTCCCAGCATCTTGGTTTATTCCAGGCTAAGCTCTGCTGCTTGGGTTAGCAGCAGCAGGCTCCTTGGCCCAGTTTGTTCAGTGAGAGCAGGGTTTCTACCCTTGGAAGGCATTGCTGTAGCAGAAATAGTTTGTCATCTTCCAGCTCTGGCTTAACACAACCATTTTGTATGCAAGAATTCATGGGTGCTCAGATTCTTTGATTCGCATTCCGTCCCCCCATTTACATAGAAAATGTGACTTTAACCCTTCCCCACCCCCTCTTGAATAGCTGCCTTGTGTGGTGCTCATTTTGTGCATGTGCATGCAGAGGTGGTAAATTATTTGGTGTTTCTTTTTTGCCTCGGGCATCCGCAGTATTCCTTAATAGTTTGAACTACTTGAATCAGCCTTGATGAAGAGCCTTTATTCCGCTGCTCAGAAATTATTCATACATTCACGAGGCAGGAGTGTCTTCCTTCTCTTTCAGCTTATTTTGTATATCAAAGTATGCTTTCCTAAGCTCTGCACAGTGACACTGGGCAGGACATTACAGTGCAGGTAGTAAAATGTGACTGCAAAACACATTGGTTTACCAGTGGGCAAAGCTGGTTGCTGCAAGTGAGCCTACTGATTAAATGCTGAATTGGCCCCTATGATACTTGTTGTGTTCAAAAGCTTCTTGCAGTGCAGATTGTTGGAGGAAGGCTCCAATTCATCATCTAGGGAACCCAGTATTCATGTTACTTTATATGTACTCCTGTTGCTTGTATAGCAGTGTTCTAGGTCCTTGAATTTGTTCCATCTCCTCCTTTTGTCCTGATGGGATGTTTGGTTTGGTTTAATTCTTCAAGGGCAAGGGCTTTTTACTAAACTTGTGAAAAGCCATAAGTGAGCCCCCCCCACCAAAGCTTACCAGCAAAGCCCATGGTGCTTCCAGCTGCCTCAGGTCCCGTTTCCAGCTCTTGTCATGGCTGCAGGGGTGCTAGCGCTGGCTGAGGGGAAAGGGAAGGAGGGAGCTGAAGGGTGGGAGAGGAGGGAATGGCTCCTGTCTGCAACAGCCCCAGCTTTGATGGGCATCAAGAAATCATGAAGCTGCAGCTTGGACTGCACCTTCAGAAAGCAAATTTAATAATTAGTTATTCTAGGTTGAAATAAAAAATCTAGACATAACTGGAGCAGTCACTGAGGTGGAAAATATGGGGAGAAATCCCTCTGGTTTTGTTGCTTCCAGTACTGCAAAGGGATGCAGCAGGTTGAGGGACCTGGGAGTAGAAAAGTCCTTGACAAACCTAAGATGCTGACTCAATCCCCTGAAGAGAGGGGCAAAAGGACTTGAGGCCATCATTTTTCACTGCTCTCCTGCTATGCATGGCAAGACTCTTTACAATGGATTTATTTAAAGTCACAGCATTAGTCTGTGGCTAGGCTACCACCCTAAACTTTATTCTCTCACAGCAGCACACAAGCTTCTTAATATCTATTCTCTTATCTTAAAAGCAATCAAGATGACAGATGAATCTTCTAAACATATTTATATTTATGTTTACTTAACTAGTTTCTTCTTCAGTTTCCTCTCCCTGCCTCTCTTTTATGCTTTAACTAATAAATATCTCCCTCAGCTTGCCATTGTCAATAGCAATTTAAGCTACACAGCACACACATTATCAGTTAATAGGAATGGAAACCCCAAGGACAGTGATGCATAGCAGCCTTGTCATCTCTACCAATGTGAGTTGCAGACCACTGGTTTTGAAGGGGCCATACTTCCTTGTTCCTTTGAGGTGATAGCTGCCTGCCACTGAAACACTCTGGACTGGGCATACAGACTAAACACCCAGATCACTGAGATACAACTACTGTGAGTTGACCTCCCAGTGAGTGCCACTTACCCACACTATAGAGCAGGTCTCTTCATGGGAGAAGAAGCAGCCCTTGGTAAAGATTAAACGGTGCAAGAGGAGACACAAACTCTGTCCCTTTTATGTTGTGGATAGGAGGTAAATAGTCCAACAAGCCTAACCAATGAAGTTGAGAACATGCCACTGACAGGTGAGTATTTGCCACATTGTGCAGCAAATCCTCCAGGAATAAATAAAAAAAGGGCTCAATAAACTAAATTTGACCAGAGGCAGATGGTCAGGATGATGATCTGATCACCAACATGAAAACTCAACCGTAGTCTGAGATTGTCATCCTCAGAATTCGAATCCAAGCTCCATTGTAAAATATTTGGAGTAACTATTGGGCAAGAAACTTTGACATAAAATTGCTTGATTAAAACCAAGGTTGAAAAACTCCAGTATTTTAATTTTGCCAGTTAGTGTTGGGTGGTTATTTATCTAAAGCTAGTCAAAGACGATTTGGCTGGTATTGGAAGCCCTTAGTG